TGTCGGAGCTGCTCGATGTTGGAGGTCTTCCAGATTGAGAGCACTGGTCTCCAGGTAGCTATCCATGGTGACTCTACGGAGTTTCGCAGGCTGTTTTGGAGTGAACAGGACTTCCAAAAGGTGTTTCTGCCATTCAGGCGCGACTGGAGTATGACTTACATGATTTTCGCGTACATGAGGCGATTGGCAGGGCACCTGGTGCTCCAGCTTTAGAGAGGAGCCTTAGGTATCTTCCACTCTGGTACTCATATCCACTTCCCCTGTCTGGGCTGCGAAAACTTCGTTGATATGTGGCTCGGCCGAAATGACTTTTTTTGGCCCCCCCCTGTATTACAGGGCCCGTAGAGTCGACCGTGGTTGGACACAAATTAGCAAAAGGAATTAGTGAAAGTGCAAAATGCCCCCCCCTGAACTGAACAGCTACATCAAAGACATAAAAATTATTTATTACACACACAACATTATTTAGATCTCCATGAGATGTGAGAATGAAGTGAGATGTTAGTACTGTTAAGGCAGAGATCGCGCTAATTTTCAAATGGGCTTTACCTTCGCAAGCAGGCTGGGTACTACCGCCAACTTAAGGGGTTCAGGTTGGCCCTCGAAAAGTGAGGAGTTGGGGTAATACTGCTTTCGATGAAAATGAGCTCATGCTCAGCACGAACTGGTCGGATAGGGATCTTATTCTGGTGAAAAATGGGCCACTTGCCCCCAGATGTGCCTAATGATGTGAATTCTCAACCAACATCCCGGGATTCAGATCCCTGGCAACGAATTTTTTCACGATCTCTGCCTCTGAGGGCACATTCCAAGCTGGCTGTGTAGGAAGAGCGAAGCCTGCCGTTGAACGTTTATCATTGCCATATCTTCTCATCACCGCCTTCAGAAATAGAGATAGTTAAGGCAGACCCTACCCCGCCCACACGAGGAGCGTGGAATGTACCTCTATAAATAAGGCAAGATTGAGATATTTCACCGAAAACCAACATATTGCATCACAGGTCATCATAATAACATCAACAAAAATTAAGCAATATTTCGAAAGAGTTCATAAGGCTCAACGGAAGAATGTGGTAATAAATTATTCGGAAAACATAACGGTAGGTTTGACATCACTTTGGGTAACAGTTACCATCGCTGCTCAGGTAATATCCAGAGCAGCATTCTTCCGAATCCTCAGATGAAGAACTTGATGGAGCTCTCAAGGAAACCCTTCCAGCCCTATCACCCTTCAGGCCCAGGTGGATCGTAAGAAGTGACGTCGGACAAACATATCTGAATTTCCTGAAATGCCAATGAATAGGTTACAGTAATCAGTAGGAATTCCATCTATTGAACATTGCTAAAGGTGGATGGTAACAAAAATGCATGAAAAAGATAACAATATCTAATATATTCGAAAAAAATCGAATTTCTGACGCCGGTGAGCAGCACTTCATAACTTCTCGTCCACTTCTGCGCTCACTAAGCTCCGCTTTGTGGCAAACAGTAGGGTGATGAAAAGCAGCTGAAGTGGTAACTGGTCCAGCGCCAAAATGCTACTGAGCAGAATAGGAGCCCCTTTCAGCAATTTTTGACGGTTTTTCAGAGCTCTTCTTTGCTATTACACAAATTAACACCTTTGATTTTTGCCCGACAGTCAACATCCTTAAATTGCCGTATTATGCTGTACCAGAAGCCTTACGACCTTTGCTCTCGGAGCGGTCCTAGGTCTGAGCTATCTTTTCTATTTTTCAAGCGCTTTCGAAAACAGTGTGCCTTTTACTGAAAGAGCGACAAGCTGAAAGGGATCGTCGCTCTTCCAGTAAAAGGCACACTAATGGAGTCACCAACGTATACTTCTTATCCCTGGGACGGGGTAGGCGTGGCATTCGAACATGGCACAGAACTGGTTACTCGTGGGAATTTCAATTTGAGACAACCGCCATCTTGTTCTTTGTTGGACAGAGACGTGACCACATTTGGGTCAAAATGAAAATATCTTTCCAAAAGCATAGCCACCACGACGTTTAGTTGAAGTACGCAGCCACGCCTACCCCATCTTAGGGATTTAGAGTGTAAAACGGGTCGTATACGGACGCAGAAAAGTGGTGTCGTATTTTGTCACTGAAGAAATTCTATGACAGTGAATTTTTCTGATTCATGAGCAGCTTTGGTTGGTGGCGTGGCAAGACGCCCATTTTTGGTAGGGTGGGGAAAGGTGCATTGCTATCAAGGACGTCCCGCTGGGGAAAATTTTTGGGAACGACCCCCCTCGCTTCCAAACAACAGCAACTACGACCCCCCCTATAACTCCGTGAAACAAGAGAAATCAACTGTCAAAGAAAATTTTCCCAGGCCACATTCGCGACCCCCTGCCTCTTCAGCCGACCAGTACGATTCCTACCCCCGCTGAAGATTATCTTCCTAACCTACGACGTGGTCTGGGGGAAAGTGTTCGCATTTTGCAAGAACTTCCCACAACGTGATGCAGTGCCCTGATTGTCAAAAAAGCCAAGCTCGGAAAGCGAGTGCATGTGTTGTTGCATCAAGCGTTCTAAACTGCCGCGTCTATTCGTCCGCCTTTTGGTGGTCTTCGTAGATAATTCGACAACTTTATGAGCCATCGCCATTTCAGGACAATTCGCTGCACTAAGAAGGTCGTAGTTACCGCCAAAAGGGAGCCGGAAGGCCGACAGTCAGCGCTGCATAACGTCTGTGTTTCACGCCAGTTTCTTGATCCAGGCTGCAAGAAAGTAGTGGCCGAAAACCTATCGTGCGCGGGTTGCGGCTGCGAAAACGTCGCGAAAGAGGTTTTTCCCGACATTTGGCGCCAGAACCTGGAACTCCTTTTCAGGGTTAACCTGGCTGAACCTGGCAATCGCGTGAAATAGCCCTGAAAAGCTATTAGCGAGGAAAATGGGTTTTGCAGCGTCGCGACCTGGCGGATCACTCACCCCGAGCACGATGCCCGAGGAGGCTAGGTAAGGAGGGCTCAGCTGTCACACAGATCACTAGGCAGAATGCAGTGGATGTAGATAAACCGGTTTTTTGCTTAAGGCTGAACGCTGCTGCTGACGTCAGCTTGGTCTTGAAGTTCTTCGAACTGTAGAAAGCTAGGAATACCTTCAAGTGAAGGCGTTCTGGTGAGAGAATGGTTACGCTTTCTTAATTACGTAGAAATTTACCCGCTATGGTCTATGAACAGGCTTCCTGGCTGAAGGAATGGTGATTAAACGCGCACTTCTTCGCCGTATGGGCGTAGCGGAGGAACCACCGGAAGGGGGTCAGTGGTAGGTCAGACTCCGCCCATGTAAACACTGTATTGACTCTGAACTGTTGATTCTAATGTTTCACAAGATGACTATGTTTTATTTATGGATTTCTAGTCCGTTCTACTTAATCAGAACTCACTTCTCACAAAGACCATACGATGAGGACAATTTCTCCGCTGACGACTTTGGCGCAATAGCCCCCTTTTGGAAGAAGTTTACCGCATCGTCGACATTTCGTGCAGTTCGTCGTGAATCGTCAGTTGGGTCTGCAAATGAAGAAGAAAAATATGGAACTCCTGTAAAGACCTGGATGATCGAATAAAATCAAGTTAGAAGAGTACATTTCCCCAGAGAAAATGTCCTCCTGACGCTATACTGATATGAAGCCTGATCTTCCTTCACCACCGGAATCTTACACGCATTTCAATCGATGGAAGAGTGCGGACTATGCGACTGAGCTCTAGGAATTGTTATTTTCAGTTGGGACTGTTAGACGCTTCTTATCTGTGCAGACCACAAGTACACCTTGATATCGCGTTCGCCGGGTCAGTAGGGAAAGGGGCGCCTGATGTAACGGAGAGCCTGGCCGCAGCCGGCGATTAAAGGCTCGGTTCGCGATCAGGTATACAAGTTGAAAATTAGCATCAGGAGGGTAATGTGACCCGCGGCGGACAACCTTGTATCGGTTTCGCGGCAAAAAATAGTAAGGGAGGGGCGATATAGGGCAATATAGGTTCAGTGACCGCATCCTTTCCAGTGACCCCGGCTCCAGACTCCGCCTCCACGACCTGCCTATCCAGCTGAAAACAAGCTGCGGAACCGGACGAAAAACATGAATAACGCGTCACGCAATGCGAAAATGGTGTTTCTATAGTAGGGGCAGTTGGCATGTTTTTTCTGCTTTTTTTTCTTCGCTTAGTCGAGCTACTTCAGTCAGCTGTATCGTCTATATTGCAAATTCTCTAGTCATCCAGATCGCGAATGATTGAGGCTTTGTCAGTCTTTTGAGGCACATTCTGGGCGAATTAATCTGATGGAGGAGAAATTTCCCGTGTTGCACAGTAGTCCAATACGCAGTTTTACAGATTATCCCATTTTCGAGACTTAGGAGGGAGTGACGTGGGTGCTTTAGCAGAAAGAGGACCACCCGTGGAAGTTGCTTTTTCATTTCCATAGTCCTCTAGGGCCTACTAAGGATTCTTTGGCCCTCTGTGTTCTGTAGCCAAATGAGCCCATATAAATGGTAATGGTGACCACGATAAAAAAATCCCGCGAACTGTAAACAGCTAAAACAAGTGTTTGATTCTCAAGCAGATATACATATAATGAATAAGATTGCCTTAATGCGGCTAAACAAGCGATTGGAGGGGTCGTCGAGGGTGGTGAGCTAGCTAAATGTCTACTCACAGTGCGATCTACGAGGCCATCACCTGTGAAGGTCTTGCAATTTTGTAACCAAACTCTTGTGTATCGTCACTTCCCTAGAGGGTACAGGTCTCACCCAAATGGCGACCCGTTAACGCTGAACTAGGCAAACGACAATTAACTGAAGCGAAAAATGCCCTCGAGGCGAATAGCGCCTAAGAAAAAAGCGTAGCAATAATCTCCCGTTGGCAGCAAATAATCGGCACCAAAGCCATTTCATGAGACGGCAACCAGCCTTCAATCACACTTCGACTTCGTCGTCGAACAATATGGAGGGAATCTGCACTTTGTCCCTTCCAATCAAAGGTCAGTTGTTGTCCATCAGAAAGCGATGGAAGGCAGTATTTCGTCCATTTTGCAGATGTCAGGTTTCTTTGTAACTGGACTAACTGGACACGCCTGAATGTTGCATGGTTCCTTTTCGTAGCCGATTCCTCTGAAACAGTGAACATACCCACATTGTTTGAGAATTTTTTGCCAAAATAGGGAGGCCCTAAACCCTCCTCCCCCCATCCACCAATCTAAATGCTCCTCTGCCTGGCACGATCTTCAAAAGTTTTCTCAAAATTTGGAAATTTGGGCTTTGAGCGAGAGCGAAACACTCACGTTTTGATCCTAGGAGGGGGAAGAAGGGAGAAAACTCAAATGGTCTAAAATCTTTGAAGCTCATGAAATGTTTCACGAAAAACTTACCTGCATTTTCTGTCGCCACCGTAACATCCACGGACGCGACTCCGACGGCCGCAACCACCGCATATTGCGCTGCATTCCGACCACTCACCCCACACGCCCCATTTCGCCTGCTAAAAAATAAATAAAAAAAACATTGGCTCAGTGGAAAAATATTGATTTTTTTTTCATACAAGTCAAAAAACGTCATAAAGGGCACGTTTGCGCCTGGGTCGTACAACAGAAATCCTAGCGTGACGCGAAAAGCAAATCTCGCCAGGCGTGCCTTACTAATAGGGGGCGACGTTTTTTAATCAGGAAGCAGAAGAGGCCGCCTGTGTCCACCGCCTACTGATCAGCCTGGACGGTACTTATTGATATAACTCCTTCCATTCTAATTAAACTGACAATACGAAATTTTCAGAGGAACAAAATTGATGCCTCGATTTTTGCCCACCCCCACTTACACGTATGAACGTCCACAGTAAAAAAAAATGTGACGCCACTGATGGCATTTCAGAGAACACTCGTGAAATTTCTTCACCCTCTTCATAGTAACTAGGTGAACAGCACGAAGCGCACCACCCTGGGAATACGAAAAGCCTGGTGGATTTGGATCAGGTGTGCCTATAACGAGAAACGGCAGAGGGCCAGAAAAAGGGGCTAAGATCAACCGAATGTCGTTTTTTCATTTACGTGATGGCTGTCAGGGGACAGGGTTTGGCGGTGGCATCAAAATCCGTTATCACCAATTTGTTTGAAGGGGAAAACAACAAACAAGATAGCTAGAACGCGATCAGCATCTTTGCGAAAACCTGCGCCCCCATCATGCACAGCGTTCACAGTCAGTTACACATCAAGCTCGACGAAAATTATGTGAAAGAGCACTCAAAGCGCCGGAAATCAGCGAGGCGCGGGATTAACCTAAACGCCTCATCCCCAACACTGCATTATCTCAGGTATGGAAGGACAGAAACGGCGCGAGACACACAAGTAAGCTTGGTAACAGGTGAAAGAAAACGATGGAGACAGGTGAACACGTAATTCATGGGCAGGCAATGAGGTTCTACGCCTTATTAGCTTCCCGCGGGATTGCTAATAAAGTGGCTGGGTAAATTCAAATCACCAAAAAAAAATGCTGTCGATCACATAAACACTAAAAAAAACTAACATTTTCCCACCACCAAGGAGAAGGCGTGTTTGGAGTAGTCGTTGTCGGTGCTCTGGTAGTATACGTGAACGCTGGTCTGGTATTCGCTGCATCTCCATCTGAAACTGATATTCATCAGGGGGCCGTCAATCTATGGGGATCCCCAAAGAGGGGGTCGTATTTGGTCAGTATTGGGAGGGGGAAGTTGTAGCTGTAGAAAAAAATGTTTTCGTTTCTGTGTTGATTATTTCTCAGATGTTTCCGGCGTGTGCCCCACCCTCTTCGCGTCCTCCACTCCGCGCCTCCCGCAAAGCTGCTTGACTCTTTCGGGAGAGGGGGAAAGGAGATTTCCGAAGTTGCGTAGGACTTAAGGAAGAGTGTAGCTACGATGGAGATGGTGAACTGGTAGAAGCGTACCTAAATAGGAGCAATCAGAGGAAAGCTCCCGATCATACATACGACGCTTCCAAGCGCACCATAGAAGGACCCTCTCAGGGATCCTGACGACAGCGTATGGAGCCAGTTAACAGCCTTATTAGTGGACAAGTTAATTCTGGCCGAAGAATTGAGCGTACAGTAGCGATAATTGCGCTGAGAAGTCCTTTGTAACCAGCTCGGAACCGGTATGAATCTCCTATGAATATCAAGAAGATGTCGTCATCTTCAGAATAAAAAGAGCCTCCCGCTTTGCAACACAACCGAGCTCCTTAAAAAATACGATTATATCATCAGTAAAGTCTCACTCTGCTCCTTGTAGAGTGTACGAGTGAGTCCGAGTTGGCCTTCAGAGAACAGTCCATGCTGATCGCATGGGAGGGGACAGTGAGCCACCGCTCCTTTCTCATTAGTTCGAATCTTTTTCAAAGTGAAGAACGCGGCAGTCCCAATAACTTCCAAAGAAAAGAAGAGCATGCACGGCAAAGAGGAAGGCTCTATGGTAGGCCTGACTCCGCCCATGCGATCAATATGGTCCGTCCCTTTGAAACATCATCTCTTCTGAGTGACATAATAAACCGAAAAAATCGAAAAATGTCAAGAAAAAAAGACAGTGCAGAAAAATGGGAATAAGTTCAGAAAAAGAGGCAACTTACCAGTGGCAGTTCTGCTACTCTTTGCTTTGACTTCAACAAAGCTGGAACATGCATCAAGACATGGGAAACTGACCCATTTTATAACAACTTCGACCTTTTGCCCAGCAGGAGACTGAAAATTATAAGAACTTCATTTTTCAAAAGTTGTGATTCTGGTAACGAAATTTGAATTTCGTTTTGCAATCTATAATATGGGTTGATAAGCTTACAACACTGCTGCCAAATAATAAGTTTCCCTTGTTTAAAAGGTGCACTCCATATACCGCCGATGGAGGGGGCGTGGCTGCGTACTCCATTTGAACTTGACATAGAATCGATTCTTAGAACGGATGTTGAGTTTAATACAAGTGTCACCCTGTTTTGTGCTGAAGAAAGATAATTACAGCCGTCTCCAATCAGCAATATCTTGCCCAAAACACAGCAGCCGCCACATACGAATAAAGTACGCAACCACGCCCTCCCCGTTCCCCGGATATGTAGCGTATGGCGGCAAGAATAAGGCCTTGCCTTGACCTTCCCGGACCTATTATCCTTCCCGTAGTCCTATGGTTGGTTAGGACCCCGACAGAAATGGAACGACTGAAATGGAAATGTTTCTCTGTTGAAAAAACTCAGAATCACAGTCCGCGGCTCTCATATGGGCGGAGTCAGGCTATTTGTCTGTTGTTGTGATGACCGCTATTTAACGCGACAGTTCGCACATATATATGGGGGGATGGCTCCGCCCATACGAACAGGGCTTGTCGTAGTGCATGGAGGTACTCCGTGTTCTGCACCCTCTAGCTAACTTTTCGTTGACCTATGTATTATACGAACCCAAAAACGCCCAAAGTAAAACATTGCGACAAAATTTCTAAAAAGCTCACTTTAATCCTCCAAATACATTTAGAATTTTGATAAACAGGTCCACTTTCCAGCGTTTGCATCTCTGAAGTGGCCGTCAACTGTCCACCACATGAAGCTAAACGGTAAGGGAACTTCATTGCTATAGTTCCAGGTAATGAATGGAAGATGGAAGTGGAAAAGGAAAAAAGATGAAAGGAACAAAAACTAATCGATCCGCTGATCGATTGGTTTCCGTCTCATACGATAACGAGAAACTGTACAATGTTCCAGTTCAGTGCAATACACTCCTCCATATCCTTTTGGACAACGGCATCTCTGGCAATTATTCGGATCAGTGTAGCCTTCGTTGGCACATGGCAGTTGTGTTGGGCAGACTCCTAGAAGTGTAGAGCTTTTTGAGAGGTTTTTCGATAGCAAAAGGAGTTCAGAGATTACATGACAAGAGAAATTTCAAATTTTCACGATGTTAAATTCGCCTAAGAATTTCGATTACTGTGACACTAGCAGCCCGTGAACACCAAAAGTGCACCTGTCTATCTCTCCAAGAGATTCGCCAGTATGTCCCCTCTCAAGAGCAGACGCGATCGGTGGATGCCTTAATGTCTGCCACCCCGCTCATATGCTGCTTCTCTTCTGGTGTCTTCGATCTCTCATCAAAGGGCAGGGTTTCTTCACAACATGTTAAGAATCAACTATAGAAAGAGGGCTATAGGAGCATCATTGGTGGTTGGATTAGAGATCGAGTACGACCCTCGCCATTGTCTTTCGGGGAAGCGGTTCTGTTTTTGCAGAACGATGTAACAGGATCATCAATCTGCTATGGGGGGTACGGTCTACGAAGGAGGGTTACTGGAGAGCTCAGCCTTCACGAGTACACTGAATGGTGGCAGTGTGGATGGGCCTTGCTGGGATTTTTTACGATTCCTTTTTTATACATGAAAGTTATGAGAATAATGAAGTATGGATTGAACCATGCAGAGCTAGGTGAATTTCTATTGAAATACATATAGATGTACGGTCAGATTCCAGCAAATCATAGGGCGAGTGATGGGGCGTGGTTTGGTGCTTTGCCAGGGCGGCCTTTCCCACCAATTATGCCATCCTGAACCCTCAATAATTGGCGGGAAAAGCCACTTTGGCCACGCTCCAGTCCACCGCCATTCGCTCGCCCTTTCGTTTGCCGGGATAATGACAGTAGGTGCGTTTACCCAGTGAGTGCAAGAGTTTTAGTGTTCCAAAAGCAATGAAACATACTTGTACAGTAACGTAGGTTAATCATTTTTGCATCCTTGAAGGATATGCCTGATCTTTGTCCAATTGTGTTTTGAAACCATTTATCCTTCGTTTCGACGGTATTACTAAAAGAATCCCAAATTAAGGTTTTTATGTGGATTATGTCAGTGGATTTTGTAGAGTTTAGGGCGAAATTGAGCAGTGTTTATAATTAGTGACCGTACAAAACAAGCCTGACACGTTCATACTTTACGACTAACTCACTCTCTGACCCCTCCCCCACCACTCCCTGGATGCAGTCGCGAACACCGCACAAATGAAAACTCACTGAGACCAATCGGATGTGAACGCTTTGGCTCCATAATGCATGACGGATCCGAGATCATACGGTTGTCCCATGTTGTCAGTTGTGTATGGCGTTCGTTTTTCAAAATTTCCTTCAGTACCCTGAATGAATAGCGGAAGCAATGCTGAAACATTTGTTCGATATTTTGAACTACTTTAGAGTTTTTGGCGCTTTCCTGGATGATAGTAATATCAGTCCGCAGTCCAATATATGACATAAAAGGGGCACCGAGATGGGCCATTTTCACCATTCAGCTCCGGCGACGGGGGTGGGGGGGGGGGCATTTTTCACTCCGACCCATCTGGAAAGCTCTTTCATGAGCAAAACAAGAGTTGACGAGTTTTACCGTGGTGTCCAGACGAGCTTGCTCCAGCTCCACAAGTGCTACAGGTTTCACCAGTGTGGAACTCGTGAGCGGAACCAGGTAAAGTGTCATCACAAAATCCCCCCCTCCCCTATGCGGAACAGCTCCAGGATTTGCTTAAACACACACTAGAGCTCACTCACTCTGCCAGGGTGAGGCAAGAATTATCATTGCAGCGCTAAATGCAATTCTGGAAAAAGCGAAATAGTGTAGAAAAGGTTCAGGATTTGAAAATTCGCCGAAGTGTCATGAGACATCGTGTGAGGTCGTGGAATGTGCTAACACGTAAGGACTGCTCTCAAGTTTTCGGCTAGAGCGATTTAGCGGCGCGAGTGACTTCGGACCGCGCTGCAGCCGCCTAAAGCCGCGTTCAGACGTTACGCGACGACAGCGCCTGTCGGTCTCGCGCGTTCGACGCGATCGTATGCGCTTTCGACTGCATCGATCAGTTGATCATGCGCCACCGAGCGGCTGCCGTCGCGAAGTCTGAACGCTTGCCTAACGGCTGCCGACCCGCTGCAAAGCATAGAACAAGTCTGCCTCTGACTGAGTAGTAATGCAGCAGTCCGTAGTCAAGCAGGTCCAGTCAGCAGGTCCAAGTATACATCGCGCAATCCGCGATAGGAGGATTCGGGGAGTGGAAGATCCTTCTCATGCACATTCTTTCAGTTTCTGTGTGCAGTACACTACTTTTGAGAAAAATAATTTCTTCAGTTTCTCAGTGCTTTTGTTCGATTGGTTCATGAATGTTCGAAAATTCGCATAACCCGCAACCTATATGGCTACATCCTGATAGACAGCAGCAGATACCTCCGAACACTCTACAGTCGCTAAAGGGGGGGGAGGAGGGGAGTCGTAGGGATGCCACCCCTTTGGAGGGGGGGAGGGCATACCAATCCCCGAATTTTCCGCGACATGATGCTCGACCCTGGTAGTCAGTCTCACAACCTTGACTACGCTTTGGAACGATTATGAAATCAGGCAAGCCACATGAGATTCGAGCAGTCAACGAGGTATGATCCAGGGTAAAAATTAGAGAAAAAATTACGAAAAATGGAACAAATTATCCAGAAACAGTGAACAATCCAGTCTTCAATCTAAGCGAGATCATCTAGCAAAAGAAATATACTTAAAATACCGAAGCTAAAAATGTGACTCAAGTTGCTTGCAAAAGCGGCCGAAGAATGACGGTATTATTTCACGTTTGTCTAGCGATTCCTTAACATGGCTCGGAAATAGCTGTTAACTTAGAAAATAAATAGGAAAAACCTTACCCTGATTATTCTTGAATATTGTAATGAAATATACTGATCGCGATCATAACGCGACTGTTCGTGCCACAGTCCTAGTCATCGAAGCGCGTTTCGTGAGCAACAATACCTAGCCTAAAAATGCTTAAGTTAGATAATGGCGATTAAGCAGGCTGGCCTATATGAAGGATACAAGGTTTTGGAAATTTACTTTTGGAGCCCATTCTATCCGCTAAACGCTAAGCATGTATGTATACATAGCCCGCTAACCTAAGTATGTACCGTTCTTACCGTCTCAATCAGTGGGCGGTATCAGGAGGCATGGAATGAGCCCGCCCATGGCCTTCACCGCTGGTTGGTTGGCGTTGGTTCCAGGAGTCGGCCCATCGACGATGGGCGACAAGAAGTGAAAACAAGAGGTAAGTTTTGAGTAGGCCTGTTGAAACCGAGCTGGTATTCTAGTAAATGGTTGGAGTGCAACAAGGATCCGCCTTTTTACCAGGCTAGTGAGTTATGACGTCGTCGGAACTGATTTTTTTTGTATACAAACTCCACAACTTCAATAATTTGCTATTTTCCCTGCATATGCGTGAGTGGAGAGAGGCGGGCTATACACATGGAGGACGAGAGCTTATGGGAAAATCAAAATGACTCCACCCCATACAATCAGCGTGGACCGTACCTTTGAGCAGAATTTAGGAAACCGTTTAAGTAAACGAAGCCAATGACTGCGACCTACCCCGTCACATCCGTATCCGATCGAAACCAGTTGACGTCCACCAGTTCGGCCCACGTTGGACCAGCAGCCATTTCCACGGTAATATCTCAGACCATCTCTGTAATTTGATGAATTGTTAGATATCCCAGATAAATTAGAAGGTAATATTCATCAAACAGACTTGTCTCTGCCATTTTCCTTGAATCGTATGCATGTGTTGTGTTCAATATGACGTAACGCTGAGCGAATAAGGTTTTGGAAGTTCGCTGAAAACGATCAATTCAGGTAGCTGAGACTCTAACAATAACCAAAACAGAATGGATCGTAGAGAAGGTACAACTGATATCTTCGGATCGTTGTTGGAGGCGTGGAGAGCACGTTTTCTACCGAAAAACACTACTACACATTGGTAGAAAGTGCGGCCGCCGGCCGCCTCTTTTCCTTCCTTGGCAGTTCCACAGAGGATTGCGTAGGTATCAACTACAGGGGGTGGGGGCAAAAAAGACAACTTTCTTCCTCGAGTTTCAAGGCTATAAAATTTACACTCTGGCAAATCCTGAATGAGCATTTTCTCCATAAAATTTAACAACACATTGCACACGATCAGCGAAACTCCGCCACAGCCTTCTGGACGAACGCCATCGAGAGATTCTGCCACGCGACCGTGATTCGGTGCCTGAGTTCAGCGAGGTCGTTGATTTCTCCGCCACTGTAGACCCTGTTGAGCTCCTCCCGGAGCCGGTAATCGGTGGGTTCAGGTCAGGTGACTACTTGGATATTCCGTCTTCTTCAGGTACTCAACGCTCTTCGATTCCAAGTAGGCGAGAGTTTTTTCCAACGCCCTTCGATTCCATGTGCTTGCAGCAGTACGAAGTTTCCAAGATGGTACAGGCGACGACATGAAGGCAGGATATTCTCCTCGAGTTGTCGATGTAACCGTCAGCGTTCACTTTCAGTCCGGGTCCACGAAGAAAATATCGGTCTTCCCATTCCAGGAACTTCCGGTCCATACCATCAACCCGCGCCTTGGCGACTGCGAAGATGATATCCTGGACCGTAGCGACGTTGTCGGAGCTGCTCGATGTTGGAGGTTTCCAGATCAAGAGTGCTGGTCTCCAGGTACATTGTATAGTTGCCCATGAGTGACTCTACACAAAAAGTTTCGCAGCTGTTTAAAGGTGTTGTGAAATCCATGGACCTTCTTCAGTTCGGAAGCTATTGCATTTTGGTGTACATGAAGGTGATGGGCGAGAGCCTGCTCCTGCTTATCGAGGAACATCTTGGGTATCTTCCGCCCTGGTACTCGTATCCACGTCTTCTGTCTGGGCTGCGTAAACTTTACTGATATGTGACTCGGCCAAAGTGTCTTTTTTTGCCCCCCCCCCTGTATATGTGAAACTACCGTGGGAGATCAGTGGAAAAGGGAAATAATGGCTGTAGGTTCTATATAGAATACAGCCCACCACATACATGAGACATAAGACCGCAGACTTTCCCGCTCTCAGCTGAAGTTCATTCGTATGATGACATCATTTACTTTCGGCACCTGAGTCAATGTGATGTTTACGTTTAGGTGGCAAAACTAACCCTGGACGACAACCTAGCAGTGGATTTGGTAAGTATGAGGTATTTTTAACCAAGCAAGGGAGAGTTTTTGCGGCGAGGGGGAGAACTGATGTGGTATTTCTGCCCAGAGGGTCAAGCTACACTTCCTGCGTGCCTATAAGGCCTAGCGCCCATTTTGAATACATCGAACCACTAAACTCACCGGTTTTGTGAAGGAACGGATGAAACGTTGGGGTTCCGAGGGAACCACCCAGGGAAAGAATCCTCAACAAAGAATACCTCCAGAAAATAGAATTTGGCACGATTTCTCAGGAGAGGAGAGGAGAGGAAAAGGGTGAATGGTGCCGGAAATTGTTCGTTCGGAGTCGGCTGACCAGAAAAGACCAAAGCGTTTTATCCTTCACTATTCATTCTTCAGTGCTAGAAGATTCCTGCGCTCACGATCCCCTTCCTACCTATTGATTGAGTACGATCCCCTCCCCCGTTATATCCCCAATGATGACGTGTCTATATGGGACAATCGTGATTGCCCTCCGGAATTCCACGAACTAGGTGAATGTGCCATTAAAATGATGGATGACCGACAAGTAAGAAAAGGACAGAGTAAACGAAATAGTCGATAAAGGCACACGTTGGACTACAGTTGTAATATTGAAAACATGCACGTCATCGCGTTCTGGGAAACATGTCCTGAATACGACCCCAAAATCAGCTTCAGACAGAGCTCTTCCATGGGCGAAGGTGGCACTGGACGAGGTGGAAGCGAGAAGTGATTAAAAATCTCTCAAGCCAAGTCGAACCACAGCTTGTTGAGAAGACCTTGTAGAAATGCATAGAAAGGAAAGCGCTGGGTGGACTTTGGAAAGAGTGGGTCAGTTATGCTGCTTGAAAACTGTACAGGGAAACTCACCGTCGTTGTACGCAAATTCATATGAAATTGTCAGATTCGGCCAGAACGAATATGGCGCAGTAGCTGCTTGTCGCTTGTTCCGAGTGCCAGCTAAAATGTTCCTTGTTCGGAAGGGAAGTCCACAAGCGGCTAATAACTCTTACCTGCTTCCTTAAGAAGCGCTTCCGCTTGTGGTAATGTGAGGATGATATCGTTCTCGAAGACTTCAGGCCAAATCAGCCTGTTTACTGTAGCCTCTGTACCATCATAGAATAACCTGGTGGAGGCTTCGGTCCTGACGGCTGCGGGATCCTGTTCGGAAACAGAATTTCCCCGTCATCACAAAATTGCGAAAGATAAATATTCAACAGGAATAATGAAGCCACTGTGGGTTGTATCTGGCAGCTGAGAGGGGGGAGAGGGCGTATACGGTTGGCGGGGTTGCATCTGGCTTTGATAGGAACTTTTTGAGAGATGAAAATTTTCCGTTAGTTGGTCCCCGTTTTCTGTTCATGAACGTTGCCCATTCTCTCCTTACCTAGTTACTAGCCCCCGCAGAATCACTATATAATTTACTGCGGAGGGGGTCGTATTTAAACACACTTACGTAATCGTTGCCGGCTTTTCGTGCGAATTTCCTATAGTACTGCTGGAGTAATTCTTTCACTTGCCCATAGTCGCTGACTACATCGTTTGCTATGTACTGAAAATGCGAACATCCTCACCTAGTAAGGCTTCTTTGGATTAAGGAGGGCAAATAACCAAGCAATAAAATGGTAGCACTACCTGACAGAACAGCCCTTTGATTTCTAGCAGGAACACACAGAGTTGTAATATCTTCATGACTGAAAAATGTTCCTGAAAAGAAAACTATGGAGGGAAGGCTGGTAAAGAAACGCTCCAAATTTCAAGCGTTAACTATCAAATCCAGAAAAAAACAAAGGTGAAGAGCTGAGAGAGAAATAAGTAAAATATCTATGGATACAAGATTAGTAAAGCGAAGAAAAATGCTCAGAACAATTGAAAAATAGCCTCAGAGGCAGGATCCGCAGCGCTGATCAGCTCGGAGGGGCATTTTGCACTTCTGCTAGCTCCTTTTGTTAATTCATGTTGAATACTGTTTCACCAAAATGACTCCTGTGAAGCTGCGGGAAGGTACTAGTGAACCGCATCAGTCAGAGGGATTTGCATTTTTTCAATGTGTCCTATACAAGCTCAAGTGAGAACAATTGCGCTGCCCCCACCAAGCCGAACTGCGGCCGCAGTTGGAAGCCTAGCCAGTGGTGTTGAAATATTGAAAAGAAACTGCAAGGATCCCCAATTGAGAAGGTAAACTCGAAAATGATAAAATTTCTCTACTCTACTCCCGGTCGTAGGCGAAAAGGCCCGTTGGGACGAGTTTCAGTATATCAATTCCGTATAATGAACTTTAGGCTAGAAATTCGTCTAAAAGAGCAGTGTGACCTTGCTAACACGAATATCATATCCCGCTGGTGTGAAAATGCATAATACCCACGCTACAGGCACCCAATGGAGAGCGCCCAGTGTTTCTACAGATTTCACAGATTTGACTCTAACCCCTTGGAGGGCTCAGATAGCAGTTTTGGTCTCCAAATTGTGGACTAGGGCGGAAAAATTAGATCCGCCACTGAGAGTTCTAGCGGAAAGCTGTGACATTTCTGGTAAGAATGGAAAGATTCTAGAGATACTTGGGCTCTTCATTCCATTTGATTTTAATTTCTTTTTCAACTGATCGTGTTTTATATAAAGGGAAGACTGTCAGCGAGCTCTGAGGCTATTCTGGATACATTTGTGAAAGGCAGCGTGCTTCAGATTGAGGAATGACCGTGGAGACGAAACAGTCCGTGGGGTCAATGATTCGCCTCTAGGAGTTTGGGTATCCGAATATTTAGGACACTTGCAGAATGGTTGCAAGCCATCGCTGTATCACAGAGAGAAAACATTGTTCTTGCCCACAACAGACAATTTCGCCTTTAACTTTCTAACCGTTCAGAAGTCTCGTGAGTTCGCGCTCAAGTCAGGCGTGCCCTGAGCGTAAGCGGAATGTTCCGGCATCGAAAGGATGTTGCAGTCGTGTTTAGCGACCCCATGTACCCCCAAATGATTTTGCTTGATCCTAAGCAGGGTTCATTGTATCGTGTGTTGATGCGTCGTTTTTCAGCCGTAGTAATCCCCCTTCTGCACCTCTATAAGACCCGACATGACTGAGACCCGAGAGAGATGGCTTCCCTGAACGCTCAAAAGTACGATAAATTGTAATAGCGTGGAAGATGGAGTTATCATTGAACTCTCAGATGGCTCTTTATAGGATGCGCCGCACAAGCTATTCTTCTTTTTAGAATGTCAGTAATATTGACCTTTATTCTTGCGCGAGCAAACGAGGCGACGTACACTGTACTGTTTGGTATTGCTCCCTCCAAGAACAAGCCTGTTGCCAACCAATCGCGGAGGGAAGGAAGGTTGATGGGCATGCATGAGATCCGATCTCATGATCATGGTGTCTGACTACAGCGCTATAGGCACTGTTCCGCACTTGGGCACATTATGTGAAATGTTATGAAGGAACTCGTTCGTAGCGGCTTCAAGCATTATAGCATCCAAAGTTTGGGCAAAACTTGGCTTATAGGAGGAAAGGATGGTGTTCAATGGTTGGACAATAATCTCTTGGCAAGGAAACTACAGTGGCGGACTGGTAGTCCGAATAAGGGGTTTTTGCAGGCGATTTCGCTGGGAAAAAACTCGCGATAATTGCAGGTTTTGCTGATAAAAACGACTTATCGCAGGTACTCACCGCAAAGGCTGGCTTTACTCGTCTTTCCCACGCACTTCTTGCAAGGCTAGAGTCTAAAGCACTTTATCTCAGTATCCTCCCCCAGTAAACTGAAATGCTCCACCATCTACCGGGGAAAACATTGTGGGTAGCGGTACAAATAAAACCTTTATCCTTTTAGTCCTCAAATGGTCTTGGTATTTTGAGGGCCTGCTGGAGCGCCTGTTGGTGTTGGCGTAGGGTTTCTAGCATACGTGAAAGGTTTCCGAAGAAGAGACTAAGGCTAAAAAGTTTAAGTCTTGTAAGAAGTCTGTATTAGTCTGAGCCGGCTAATACTCACAAACAACTTAGGACGCGACTAGTGCGGCTTTCGGATGGCTGATGAGGATCGGTCTCTGTTCCCTACGGATCCTTCCGTGTAAAGCCACGCAAGTTTTCCTGTTGAAGAAGGCCCACATTCAGTAGGAAATCAGGAAGAAAGAGTTCATTGCGTGTGTTAGGCGGTCTTTCTAGCAGGTAATGCTCGCTATGCTCGCTACGATTGTTCACAAAAGCGAGATTCACTGAACTGAAGGGTAGAGGATAAGACGCTCCGGATAGGGCGACCCCTAACAAGAACAGCATGGCAAGGTCTGCCGGGGAGGAAGAAAAACGAAAAAAAGAGAACAAGTCCCCCTACCCGCTTGAGAATTCTTTCTCTGGTAAGACCTGTTTGCCCAGTCCCTGAATTTTCCCGATTCCCTCTGGTTTTTTCAGAGTTTTCTCTTCAAAACCCCTACAGTTTTTCTCCAGAAAGACTGCTAACGGGCGAGGGAGTCTAACTTACAGCGCTTTTGAAAAAGGCAGAACCGAAAAGAGTCAACAACCGAAAGTTTTTCCTCAAGGCAATGACAGCCCCCTTTCCTCCAGTAACCAAATTGAAACCCCCCTCGCCAGGAATGCCCAACCTACAACGTGCCCTGCGAACCTCGCGACTGCGCAGGACTAACGCTGGGAAGAAGAAGAACAAGAATAAGAACAAGAAAAAGTGGAAGAAGATGATGAAGAAAGAAGATGAAAATGAAAAATGAAGATGATGATGATGAAGATGAAGAAGAAAATGATGGAGGATAAGAAGACTATATAGTGCTCCCTGCACACGTCCAGAATATGTTCGCACAGTTGGGAACTTTATTTTGAAGTAAACAAATATTTCTGAAGAGATAGAGCTATCCTGAAAGAATCAGTCATCTCCACTGCTACGGCCTGATTGCTTCTGCGTAATCCTACATTTCCACATTTGTTACAAACTTCCATATTGAGGGGTATGTAACACGAGAACTGTAATATGCCACCCCGGTGGGCGTGGCGAGTGACGCTGTGTCAAGCAGACGAGTTTTCCTGCTCAGTCGTTTAGAACTGAGAACCTAAGAGGCGGAAAAATCCGGTATCGCCTTGACACAGAGCCTTGGATCCGCACGAATTTATACGAGTTTCGCTTCTCCAGTCGCCAAACTCATGCACAAGGAGAATTTGCCGCGCATCGCCGCACTATGCGCCGCCGGTGCCGACGGGGTAAATTACCATTGTCCTGTCCGTCTCGAAATACTGAGATCCTACAATTATACTTTTGTGCCCCCATCATCACGACCACGACTCTGATGTCAAAAACGATTGTCATATTTGTGGCCCTGTCGCTGAACAAACCTATCTGTCGGTTTCTAACGAAAGATGTGGAGCTACGTTGGTGTCAAATGACGCCGGAACAAGAGTGAGCTCCCCGTTCGTGATTAAATCTAAATGCTTTCGTTAATTAAATTGCAGCAGAAAATGGCATAGTGGCTTATGGAGGATGCACCAGTGTCCCTATTCACTCATAG